GAGAGGGCTCAGTAGGGGAAATAATGTGGTTCAGGGACTGTGAGATAGACTACAGACCTCCCTTTGCCCTCTGATTAGGGTTTTGAGTTTCAGCTGAAGATTGAGACGATAAGAAACACTGGACATGGTCTCGTCTGTCTCACAGTTCCTGTTCCATAATATACTGAGGGAAACAAATAAGGGAACACTACTTCATGGCGGTGGTCATTTAAATCTTGTATGTACTTGGATTAAATCAAACTTGCAAACGTCTCCCGCGCTTTTCACCTACACAACTACCCAACCCACCCCTCTCGTTACCGTATTTTTTGGTGACTGATTCACTAACCTTTGCGTGTGTTTAGGACGGGTATCACTGGTGCGACAGGATATGCTCGCCTTTTCGCGAATACCTGATATCATCACTATTTCAGTGTCATTTGTAAACAAATGCTTTTAACAGTGCAATCGTACCATCAACTGTGCTTTAAATAGCTGATCGGACGGTTTTACAGCCAAACTTCGTCATTAATCCGGAAGGCTACCGTTACAGAAATAATTAATAACAAAATGTAACTGGTTGTAAAGCTCCATATATATATTTACTGGTCAGCTTTCTCTTTGCGAATAAAAATCAGCTTGTCAACCGTATTAACTTTATACATTCTTCATGTGTCAGAACAGAAAATCTTCCTTTAAACTTAAACACTTCGCGAAGACTGCTAAATGTACTGTTAGTTACACGGTGTTTTGAAAGGTTGTACGGGACTGTAAGACCCTTGTAAATGCAGTATTTACTGAGGCGCAGCCGAATTTACAAGGGTTTTACTGTCCCGTACACCCTTTCAAAACACCATGACGAATTTATTACCCTTAAGATCTTTTTATTTAGCCTATCTTTAAACAACAACATTAATCATCGGGAATGAATGAGATGCAAAATGTTCCGCCATGATTTATCCTGAACGGTCATGAAGGGAGATAACTCGGCATGGCTTAGTTTGGCAGCTACATTCCATCTAAGGTCAAGGTCATTCGTACAACCCGTGTAGTGTGTCACATGACAGATTTGATGGTGTGCACGGTTCGTACACCCTGGCAAATCCGCCTACATGTAGAGTAATGCTTAGTCTCTGAATATATATAATTTAGATAGTAACAAACAAGCCCATTTAAATTGAAAAGGAGCCCCTGGGAGACCAGAGATTCAGAACCTGAGGAATTCTAGATTTGCTTCTTTTTAGGCTTTAGCAATACAAGGAGGGCTTGGCAGTAGGGAAAATAATGTGGTTCAGGGACTGTGAGACAGAATATCCTACATGGTTTGGTATGCTTTGGCTATTGACCAATCAGAATTCGACAAACTTATCTTAAGGGTAATACGTTGTTATAAGTCGTGTTTTGTTTTGTTTTGTTGTTGTTGTTGTTTTTGGGTTGTTGTTTTTTTGTTGTTGTTTTTTGGGGTGGTGGTGGTAGGGGAAGGGTGTGTAGTTGCTGTGTGTTTGTCTCACAGCAATATTAACTGCCTATAAAAACATAAAATCACGACAAAGTAAAGGTGAATTGATTATACATGGTGTCCTAAACCGCCAAAACAGTACGTTGTATCGTAGTTTACTGTGCATTACGTTTTAACCCAACAAAAATACCTCGGTTTATTTTCCTGATGTCCTTGTGTTTGACACTGTTTAATTAGCGGTGATTAATCAGTACAATCAGACTGGTGTCTGGGATTAGGCCGGCTCGAGATGCTATCAGCACCCTCGTGTGACAAGGTAGATCGTTCGTGGGCTAAACTCGCAGGGCAGTCAAAGACGTCCCGTTATGTCTCGTGTGAATGTGTCCAACAGAAATATATATATCTGATACATCTAACAAGCATGCATGTCTGTAGGTATACAGTACCGATAGGAAAGTAGGTGAGTCAGCTAAAGGTCACTTAGAGGTCAAGAGATTTTCGTTGAGCTTCCACATACATGTATGTCTCAAATACACTGAAGTTGAAACGCAGGAGAAAGAAAATACTCAAAACTATGTTGGATTTTTTTTCACCAAAACTCTATAAATGTCATAAAAACGACACTAGGCCGAAAGCAGTTGTTGAAACAAAACTGTTATGCCTGCATCAAATACATTGTCATCAAATACCACTGCGTGTTAGTTACATTTAGCCAAACTAAAACCAGGCTAGGTGTCTGCAACCTTCTTTTGCCCCCTTCTTATGCGTGGCGGTGTGCGTATTATGAACCCAAGAGAATGATATAACATCATACATTCTAATATATACAAAGTACGTTATTGCCATCTCGAACCTGGATGATAACGTTTTAAACGCCGGAGCCATTCCCACGTGAACTGACAAGTCAGAGAATGAATGATGTTTTAAACCGCACTCAACTGTTCTAATCACATGAAGGCGACCTGTTAATAATAAAAATGACAGTGGTTTTGTGTCAATGGGTAAAATTCTAAAGACTTTACAAATAATGGGTAGTTAGACATTATTGTAGGATGTAAATATTTGCCATTTTTATATAGTGTAAAGTGGCCTCTTCATGTTTTCCTTCGAAATTAAGGCAAATAAAACAGTTACTACTTTCGTGTGATTGCTTTTTTCAAAGTATTTGGAGGGAGAGGATTTTATTTGGATTATTAGTCAAGGTTGTATGGTTTTTCGTCACTTTCAGCAATATCCAAGCAATATCACGACGGAGAAAATGGGCTTCACACATTGTTCCCGTGTGGAGCATCGAACCCGGGTCATCGGTGTGACGAGCGAACGCTTTAACCACTAGGCTACCCCCACCGCCCCTGATTACAGAGGATGAACATGATCTAACGTGCCATAATTCTCTTTGCACGGAACCTTTGACCGGGGGTTCGAATTCCGCTTCTTCCCTTTGCGTGTCTTGGTCTGCGAGCGTCATATCTGAGCTTGTTGTTTTCCCCAAATGGCAAACTGTTGAAACCTGCATTACTTCGGGTGTTCCTCCAAAATCAAGCAGACACGCAGTAATATAACTGGAATATTGTTCAAACGAGCGTTAAATCCCACTAACAAACCCCCTTAGGTGACACTGGCCCCATGATGAACATCCGAAGTAAAATGGACGAATTCCTGTTAAACCCAATTGTAGCGTGTATGAACGTCTGAACAAATCAGTTTTCAAATTCTTACAATGAAAGTAGGATTTATACTCACCCGAAACGAATGAACGAAATAAATACGATTACATCCAACCAAATGCGGGCAGAAGTGTAGAATGTCTAACTATGGTGAGCTCAACATAAATTTCAATTTATCCCCCACCCGCCCCCCACCCAGCAACCTTCTAACTCCCTCCCCCTCCTCGGCGTGAGGGTCGTCTACCCTAGTGTTGTCTCTATTGAGATCCGGGTATTGTGCAACCAGTTAACCGCGTTCAAGCACGGAATGGGATACTGCGCTCTAGTTTTTCTTTTGATTCCAGTTCATGTCACCATAGTCGCTGACACAAAAACATGCTTTGTTGAAAACGCCAAGTCACTGCTCTGCCAGCTGATTAGGGTTTTGAGTTTCAACTGAGTTGAGTTTGCGACGATAGGAAACGCGAGACATGGCCTCGTCTGTCTCTTTGTCCCTGTTATATGATATACTGAGGGAAACAAATAAGAGAACACCACTTCATGACAGTGTTCCTTTATATATTCCCAGATGCTCCCCCACAGCGCTATTCAAAGCTGGTGATGAAAACTGGAAAACATCAAAGGAACACTTGAATTTTCCTGTGTTCCTTTATTTGTTTCTGTCAGTATATGTTCCCTTCCGCCCAGCCTGTAATGTTATAGTCATGAATGAAGCAAGTCTGGATCTCCCATTTCACTGGGCCTTCTTTTCAGTTCGAAAGGAGTTTTTTTCTATGCAACATATTTTCTGAAACTTAACAGTGGTTCAAAAAGAAACGGACACGAATGGTGGTATTGTTTTACACACTTGCAGGTTAGGTCTGGTTAATTATAACTGTTTTGCTAGTTTTATGGTTGTTAGTTGTTGTTGTTCTTGCTGTTGTTGTTGTATATCAAACTTGCAAACGTCCGCTGAACACCTGATATCATCATTATTTCAGTGTCATTTGTTAATACATGCTTATAGGTTCGTACTGAGAAACAACAAACATTGTCAAAGTGTATTTTATAATGATTACAAGTGAAATTAGCTATACACATGGAAAACAGTATCGCAGCACCCCTGTGATTGTTAATCCTGATATTGCCATATCATATTCATCGGGTGGTCAGCTCGCTGACTTGGTTGACTTGGTATCCCAAGAGAGCAGAGAGCGATGCTCATACTGTTGATCAGACTCGATTATTTACAGACTGCTGTCAAATAGCTGGAATATTGCTGAGTGCGGCGTAGAAACTAAACTCACTCACACATGTCATAATTATGTTTGTATATTATTTTGACCCTGCACTATACACTAGGGGTGTCGCGATACGCGAATGTATCGATGCATCAGAAATGGGGGTATCGCCAGGCCGACAATCGGGTTAATTTCTCGGTTTCAGCCCTTTCTAGCAAGTCGGACCCAACATTTTTGAAACGATCTGGGAGCAGGCCGACACTTAACACAAGTTGGTACAATATGCCGGAGGCCATAGGCAATCCATGACACAGAGACCAGGAACGTCGACTTCAAGAACTCAGACACAATCTCAAAATTGGAATGTTAACTGTTAACTAGGCAATTTGCTGATTCAGCGTCTCATCTTTTTACATCTATAATAAATATTAATAATAAATATGTACTTGTATACATGTATATGTATTTTGTACTACTATGTATTTTATTTTATGATCTATATTATAATGTACATTGTATATATACTCGGTGAACTGAGATTGAAATACAACACTATCTTTATACACATATTAGGTGTGCTCTCATCCGCATAATCCGGATTCTCCTCTTCTAACACGTAGATCCGTCATTGTCTCTATAATCCAATGTTAATTGCTAAAATGTCGAAACGCCCAGGGCGTCGACTTTTTTTCTTCACTCATCCATGATGATTTGACCAAAGGTCGACGTCCTGAGGGGGTGTTCTCTTTTTGCCTGCACGTATTGTTTAGGGATTAAAATTACTGGACCGTACTAATCCTTACAACAATGGGGATTAAAGCTATAGTTTGTAGTAGAAATGCAAGTATGCCAGCACTTGCTGGTAAACATTAAAATTGATCACGTTTTGTTTATTGCATTTTGCACCCGCAAATTTACGAATTTGAGTCATTTCAAAATATGGTGACATTTTATATTTTACTAATATTGCATGTAACATAATATGCATGCACAGTATTGCACATATACAAATATACGAAAATGAATTATCTGACAAATATTATGAATTATTAAATCAGCAAATACACGAAATAAGCGTTAAATTTGTCACACCATCATGTGCACTGTGCATGATACATAAATACATTTAATTGCATAATTTGTTTCGTATGACATAATATCACTGTCCTTCGTCGACAGGTTTATGTAATTTAATTCCATTTATTATTAGTTTATAACTTTTAAAGTCATGATATGGCTGAAATATTGCCGATGTGACTATAAATCTTAACTCATTCACTCATTCACTCACTGACATGACATAACAATCACATTCACATTCACAATCCCACCGGATGAGAAACGGCATCACCATAAACAAGTGGTGAGATGGTACCAGTTAAGAGTCTATGTTTCTCAAGGTCAATTCTTTCTTCAACGTGGCAGTAGTGAACTCCACTTACTTGAAAGGGCTATAATTGTGCAGGCACTGGACTGTTAATCCTAATCAACTTAAAGCCAATTAAAGTGCAGGCAAAAAGAGAATCCACCGCTCACCGTGGGTATATATATATATACATATATATATTGAAATAATATACTTTTACACATGTATGTTATATGAACATGAACATATGTTATATATGTTATACATATTTAAATACATGCAAACATACACACAATAGTTTATATTACAAAAATGTATATTTATATACAATATTTCTTATATAGAAAGTTACCATATTAAACAAAATGTACATTGATAATTACAATGTTTAACATTTGTACGATGTGAATGTACATACACGGAGTTGCTGGATAATATAATGCACAATTATTATTGAAATGTAAATTGAAGCTGATTATCTGCACTTGACACTACGTTGTTTTATCGATGTCTAACACATCTTCATTCATATGATTTCTGCTGACTTTAGTTTCGAAAGGGTGTATGTAAAGTGGTTGAATATTTATCATTTTATATGTATACCATTAATGCTGTATCCGAAATTCCCTGATCGCTAAATCAGTCCTTACGCTTGGAATTTTGAAGAAATGATACTGTGGACCTATTTTGGATGGACACATCATCCCGTTTAAAATATGCTACACATCGAGAAAACGGAAATATCACTCGATTGTTATGTAGATGAATAAAGTGTCAACAACGGGAAACGGCACTGTGACGTCACAGCCCGATAACCATATGTATACGCGCAGGTTGTGGGATCAGTACAGTTATTTGGTGCTTTTAGATAACAAAAATGACTGATGACTTTTTCTTGGGTGTAAATAAGTATACTCTTTATGCACATTTAACATCTGGTAAGAAGTTTATATTCAATATATATCCCTTAAAGTAATAAGGGTTAAGGAAATCTGTTAATCCTTTTGTCCCATTTTAGCCTTGGCTTGAATAATCTTATCCGATATTTGTAATAAACATCATGAATTTGATCATTGCCTGACGTGGAAAAATTCATAGAGAAATACGTCACTGGGTTCATATCCGTATAAACGGTGACTAGAAATGTCTGTTCTGCTGGAGTGTGTAATTCATATCCCACAACACGCTGACACTAAGTGCTTGGTGGCATCTGACCGTGACGTTTTGGAAATCCAACTACTAATTTAGATCCAGCTCAGCCGTATTTACTTGATTTGGAAGCCATGGACATGACAGGTTTGTGCATCGCGCTGCTCTTCCTTGCTGTTAAGGGTAAGCAGAAATTTTAGTGATTATTGACTAGTGAATGAAGTGAATGAAGTAGAACTGTGATATATCGGAACGGTCTGACAACCTGTGTAAAGATTAGTCTTCATGCTTTGTTAGTGACCGAGATTTGTAGCTCTTTGACCGTTCATAAACACATTCTTATGAGACAAAAGGAATCGTACAATCGACTATTTCAGCAAGAGTGTCTTGAAATATTTTCTATAATGTCGATTAAAGTTACATTCGTAACTGTATGTGGGATCCCATCACATTCAGGCCGTAACCCTTGTGTGTTGCCAACGGATTCCACAGCAGTAAGCGGAGTAGTATATACAATGATAGTCCTGGACCAAGTCCAACAAAAGCCTCTGCAAAGCCTTATTTCCCAAATAAGGCTTTTGTCGGGCCCTTAGCTCTTGCTACCATTGTATCTACTACTTTTGAGCCCCCGTTGATTTCCCGACCGCGAATATACCTATAAAAAGTTGAGACACCAGCGGGATACGAACTCCACACGCAAACTATAATAGGCCTCGCCACTCAACCGGCTGAGCTACCGGGGACTTAACTGACGTATCTCGGTTTAACGGGTCTATCCTGGGATTGCATCATCCAAAGCTGGGCTCCGTCTATAATACCTCCGAGTGCCTCTATGTCACGTTGACCTCGATGAAACAGTTTAACGTGAATCACCTATGATCTCTTTGGTGTTTGTAATAAAGGCTTGCCGGGCTTTTTGTACCCCCTGTTCTATGTACTTTTTTTTCTCGTCCTCGCTGATAGCAGACTTACGAGACTTGGATCGAATCTCTTGTTTCATTTTGTTATATTTTGTGAGTTCAGAGAGGATTGAACGAAACTCCTCCTCTGAGATCTTACTGTCAGTGACTTACCGTGTTCAGCTTTGCTTCGGCCAGAACCCTGATCTCATCGTGTTTCATTGCCTTACGATGCAGTCTGCGTGATGCAAACTTAAGCACCAACCCTAACACCCCTGCCACCCCAGCTGTTATTTCAATGCCTAGAACTATAGGTGCAGCCACGATGGTAGCTAACAACCCAACACCTGCCGCCCCTAGTCCCATGCTGGTTGCCATAAGGGCAGTATCAGTCGCATCCACGGCATTGAAAGCTCTATGGTACTTCTTATATAGTGCTTTCCGCGTGTCGTGGTCTTGTTCTAGTTGGTGTTTTACATCACATAACTGTCTCAAGCGGAACCCGTCTACGGTTTCCAGGGTCTTCGCAACTTCCTCTACGACTGGGTATAGCCCCATCCTGTGTGCATATAATATATCTTACCAGATATTTTTTAATTGGGCTTTTGTTAATAGTCGGTCAACGTACTTGAGGCTAAAAAGGTTTAGATTCGGGTGTACGAAGATACGGGAAACGCTAATAGGCCACTTTTGGGCTATACTAACCCCCGACAGGTCTATCGAGGGGGGCAGTAATCTCCCTTGGTCCCCCAATTGTATGAGGATACGGCAACGTATGGGGCCTAATACGCCAGCCCAATGTACTGTCACCCCAGGTAAAAGGCGCAGGCCTGACCCATTAGCAGTGTTCTTTAGCAGGACTTCTATGATGAGTGTGGAGCCTGGTTCTATAAATAATTCGGTACCGGACCTCAACTCTGTCTCCACGGGTGAAATTAACAGGTTGCCCGGGTATTGTGGTGTTGGGGTAATTAGCACCTCTCCATGAGTTGGAATGACAGATGTGAGGGTGAAGCCGGTGTTCCTAATCTCGGAGATAGTATTATTTTGTTTCAAGGAGATATAAGGTGAGGTGAGGGTTAAGTTGATCAACCATTCAGGCTCTTTAAAATCTGATAACGACACCCGCCTATACACGTTGTCTTTCAAGTGCAGGATGTATAAGGTGTCTTCCTCACCAGGTTGATCAAACCCCTCCGTGTCCCTAGGTCGTTTAGCGTAGCACTGGGCCGATGTCTAGTCATTGCTATAATACTATTACGATATAGTTTCCAACTGGTTTTCTGATAATAGTTCAGGGGTGCACTTCACCCCCATGAAGTGTATGTTGTCGGGTAGGAAGATCTTGGTTAGTGATATCGTGTCTTCCACGATCACGGTGACGCCCTGCACACTGGTTTTGGAGTCGACACCCACCCGCACGTAAACGGTGCAAACGTGATGCTGGTGTCATTTAGCCCACCAGAGTTTGATCCCCTTCACGATTTCGACATCATCCCGCAATGGTTCCCCTAGGTAGACTTTGATGATCAGAGTGGCGTTATCCGGTAGGCTCGTCAGGATGTTGACCACGCCTTCGAATTCAGATACCAACTGCAATGTCACGTCTTGCACTCCCGGTTTACTCGATAGCATGTGGGCTGCCATACTGGCGACTGGGCTGATGATTACGCTACGCCTCTGAGCCGGGACGTAAGCCACCAGCAGTGTTCCGTTGTTCACGACTTTGTTTAGGTAGTTGTCTCTGTTCTCCGTGAACACGTAGGGGGAGCCGAGCTTTATATTGAGAAACCAGTCTCCTTTAGCGGGTAACAACACCCACTTGTCATCGTCGGTGAAGACGAGGGAATACTGCTTATTTTTGGTGATGGTCGTCACGCTGCTCTCAACATCGTCTAAGTCGAACAGTTTGCCTCCGAACGATGGGTATATTATCCATTTATCATCACCGGTGTTGACTAGGGTGTACCGAGTGTTGACGGCCGCTGTTGAGGTATCTACTATATCACTTAGGTTGTTAGTACCACCGATGGAGGGGACTTCAACGCCTTTGTAAATGTTGTTTTTCAGTTGCAAGGCGTACAATTTACCATCTACTCCGGGGTCGTCGAATCCGCGTGTGTCCCCGAGGTCGGAGATCCCCACATTGATGCATTTTTTCAACTTCGTTCCGGGGCCTTGTGCGCTGGTCATTTTGTGTGCAGCGTTATGCTGAGGTATCCTATATTCACGGGATTATGATTTATATCTAACACCGATATTAT